CAAACATCGGAATGTACTAATTCCAAAACCTCTTTAGCCCTTAGTCCCTTAGCCTTAAAGGGCCTCTTGGTCATCTTTCCTTCCATACAAGATTCACAAGTTGGTATAGATTTCACCTCTAACTCATTTAAAGGATCATCCTTTACCAATCTTTGAATCCTATTTACATTGATATGACCCAATCTAAGATGCCATAAGAGAGTTTCATTAGTCCTAGATGACCTCTTTCTTTTCTTAGCAGTAGTAGTGTTATGTATAGAGCCAATCAAAGGACTTGAGACATAAAGACTATTAACCATATGACCTGAACATATAACAAAATTATTCAACTTAATAACTACCGTAGAACGGGTAAAAAGTACCGAATAACCAATATGATATAAAAGTGCAACGAAAACCAAGTTTGATGTAAGTTTGGGAACATAATAACAGTCATCTAATATCAAATGCCTACGATTCTCAAAACATAAATGTAAAGGTGCCAACAGCTTTGGCAGATACCACTGCTCATGTGCCAACTTTAAGAGTGTACTCCCCTTCACTGAGATACTTAGTTTCCTAGAACCTCTGCAAAGAATTGTAAACATGATTAGTGGCTCCAGAATCTGCAATCCAAGCATTAGTAGAATCAACCACTAAGCATGACTCAACGAATAGGGCTTTATTACCTTTACCTTGCTTCCCCTTAGCTAGGTAATCTGGGCAGTTCCTCTTCCAATGACCCTTTTGTCCACAAATAAAACACTTTCCCTTTGATTTTCCATCGACAGTAGTTTTCTTCCCCTTTGACTTGCTATCTATCTTTTTGTTTGGCCTCTTCATCTTCTTTCATCCTTTGCCACCAGAAGGCTTAGGATGAGAGGGTTCGGCTGTAACAGTCAAAGCACTTCTACTCCTAGCTTTTAGAACAGATTCAGTATTTTGTAGCTCTTTCATTAATTCCGTTAGAGACATGTCCATCTTGTGTAGATTATAATCGACTATAAATTGTGAGAACATCTCAGGAAGAGTCTCAAGGACCATGTCAATCTGCATCTTGAAATCAATATCAACTCCTAAAACCTCTGCAGCATTGAAGTGACCAATCATGGTTAATATATGGTCTCTTACAGATGCACTCGATTTCATGCGTGTGTTCATGATTGCCCTAATGGAGGCTTGCCTAGCTTGTCGGCTTTGATGTCCAAACATCTCTTGAAGGCTTTCTATTATGTCAAAAGCAGTTTGCATATTCTGATGTTTCTGTTGTAATACATTTGACATGGATGCCAAAATGTAACAACTGGCCATCTCATCAGAATGATGCCACTTTTCATATGCAACCTTTTGAGATTCTGTGGAGTCATCTTTAGGGACTTCGGGACAAACTTCATCCAGCACAAATTTGTATTTTTCAGCGGTAAGAACAATATTAAGATTCCTTTTCCAGTCAACGTAGTTTTCTCCCGCAAGTTGATTTTTGTTAAGTATTACTAATAATGGATTAAGCAACATTTTCTGTATAATTTATGATTCGCGTATTAATAAAATGAGCAATAATATTTGTATGATGCATGTATATGAATATGCAAATATAGATCTAAAACTATATTTGTAATAAAAAAACCTTAAACCCATACAACTTTTAACACGCCCTCTATAGGAGGTCAATATAGTTGTTGTCAAGGTTGGAACCCCCCCACTCATTTTATTGAGCTAGACATCTCATGTCACAAGAAAATGAGGATTGATTATTATTTGCCCTATGAATAATTTTGTTGAAATTTTCTATAGGAAGTCCCCCAAAAATATTCATATATAAGTGTAATAACCTCCTCCAATAATTTTAAAATATCCGAAATATTTAAGATGCCGTCTATAGGATGATCATCCTATTATTTCATTTTTAAAGAAATTCTATTTCTAAATCCAATTTTAGTTAATCTAAAATAACGTAGTTTTCTTATAGGGAGACTGATATAATTCGATACTAAACATACATATTTTAATAACAAATTGGATGACGGAGGAGGTTGTAGGATTATACATGCCTATAAACCCTCTCCCACTTATTATTTTGCACCGTTGGATTTTCACTTAATTAGTCCCTCAAATATAAACAAATATAATGGCGTTAATTATAAAATATTTTTCAACCACTCTAATTAATTTAGAGAGATAAAAAAATATTTAAATTTAAATGCATATGATTTTAGTGTACCAGGTGGTGTTTCATTTAATCTACATGACATGCGATAATAATTAAACATTCATCCATCCATAAATCCGGTAAAATCAATAATTAAATGAATAATAATCACTAATGGCCCATCCTAAGAATTTAAATTACA